GGCTGATGGAAAGTCAGGTTATGCTATGCACATTATGGTTTTATCGCCTTGGGGTTCATCTCGATAAAGCCTACCTTTTGCAAAGTGCTGAGCCAATCTTCATAAATTCACCGTCATTTATGTTAACCAAGGAAGATTCCATATTCAGTAACATGAGGGTTTACATTATTTACAAACTACATACACGTCTCTCATATCTTCTATCTTTCGTCTTTTCCTTAATTATCATTCCTAGGGGATAACAAAATCAATTTTGCAGTTCGTTTAATAATCTCATTACTTTGCAATCTGCTTTTCGTTAACCTGGCTCAAAACTTGAATAGTTCTTGATATTCTGTGAGCAAGGGTTATACTGTTTGGCATGGCGTCATGCCTTAAGGGAAAAATTATCGAAAGGAATTCAGAACGGACTAAGAGAGAGTATGTGTAGGTAGGGTATTTAATTGTAATGCACCTGACAACTTCAATGATTCTTGGGACTTACTCAATTCCTTTCCATGTCTTTCCATAAAGAAGATGAGTTGATACCGTTAAGCTTAATAGCAGCATTGTATTGAGAAGGCTTCTACGCCAGTATTTAAAATTAGTTATGAATAGCTAAAATTTAGGCATTTTATCTAAAAATGTAAATTTTATTTCAATACATTTTGGGCAGACGTCTTAGGAACCATCAAATTCGAAAACAAATAGTTGATGAAGAGGAGTCCGTAAAGTGGCACTATCGAGGTTGAGTCTAGGCCTTATTGCTCAGGCTTTATGTCCTGCACAAGTATCAATCAATTATATCCATTATTTTACTTCCACAAGGTAGAGCCTCTGCGTATCTTATGAAAATCCAATAATGTAGATGAAGGGAACAATTGATTAACACTTAAGCTCCAAAGAAGACATGACAATATCATTTAATCTATGAATACGAATCGGCATCAGCAACAGCATCAACAGTAGCATCGTCTCTCCTTTCTTTATCGTCCAAGAATTGAGCCAGTCCAGCAAATTCATAAATCTGCACTTTTCACTTGCTGCATCAGGCCAAGCTGAATGCTTACAATCTATGGATATTACTAAGTTCGAAGAAACATTGCGCATCTACTTTTGAAAATACTTTGTTGACAAAGATTATACAAAATATTAGGTTCCCCAAATATCCAATGTTTACTGATAGAGTCTCTTTTCAATCCAAATTTTGACCACCAGATGCGTAGTTTAATAGAATTGACTTTTTATGTTAAGATTTCAATTTTTAAATTATTTAGGAGGTAATCTTTTTAATTAAAATGAAGCTAGTCAATAATTGGACATTTTTGGTCTGTTCTTCAAGACAGGCTCTACCACTTCCCATATAATGAATGTTTGATTACTCTCACATTTGGTCAACCCGTCTTCCCTTTCCACTTGCCTGCTTCTGACGCCCTTATTTACTTTTTCCTTCCATGCGCACACTCATCTTTTGTGTTTTTTCCTTATGATACTCAGGACAAGGTTGATGAGCGACCTTTGGCCCAGCGAGAGCGAACGGGGAAAATTCTCTCTGCCCGGGATCGTTTTGAGTCCGGAGTCAGCACCAAGCCTCCGACAGGACTGTTAAAGAGGGTCAGTCCAGTAGTGAAAACCTTTTGTTTGGTTTTTAGCCACCTTTTATCCCTGTCCCCAGATATTAGGAGTGCCGGAAATAAATTCCCCTTAAAATATAATCTAAAATTGGGCGTAGTTTCTTAATTTCTAGCAGCAGCCAAAATTAATCTGGTTACCATGAGATTGCCATAGCAATTCCTCTCCAGCTATCATCATAAAAACTGACAACGCTGAGTCATTTATCCTCATCATTCCCGGTCTTTAAAGCTAGCGGTCCAGTAATCAGGTGGAAATTTACTCTTCTTGTGCAGCGCAAAGCCGAATTGGCAAAATATCAGCCTATGCAGCGTGTCTTGCCTCAGTTTGGCCGACTTTGCGGTGCCCCATGATAGTGCATCGCAAGCAATTATTATCCCCAAGGCTAAGACTCCAGGAAACTGCATTGTTATTAACTAATGAATTTCTCTACTTGCAGAAAAGTCGCTTTTTGGCACCAATTGACAATCCGCCCAGCTTTTATATCTTGGTGCTCCGGGAATGGTCCATTATAAGGCATTTTATCGTCTTATTAGCCAGTACTTATGTGAAATGAAACTTCCATGACATTTTTAACGAATTACAATTGTTCAGCTCACTTCCACTTCAAGTGAAAGTGTAGAATGAATAGATTTAGAGGTGAATCTTAGCTAAAGGTGACATCTGATTCCTCTTGGCCAGCTGTCGTTTGGCTATACTGGAACGTTTTGGCTGACGCTGTTCCCTTGATTGTGGTGTGAGTGGGCTAAAGTCTCTATTTTCATATGAAAAGTATCATCAAAGCAGGTTATCATTCTTGCAGTCATATTCAAGCTAACGAGTCAAGAAGATCCACCAGCTTATCCTTAAAATCGTTTAACCTATGAATTTTTATGGGGTATTCTGTGATTAATAATATCATATGTTAATCTAAAATTTGCGCACGTGTATACTTGTGTGTCTAGGTGTGTGTTAAAGCAAGTATTAACTACGAACCCATGAGAGGTAGATCCAAGTAGAGATAACTTTTGTCCTTACTCATTTAGGTTCAGTCAGGTTTTTCATTAACTAATAGATTCCTCGAAATCCAATTTTTATCAGCATAAAATTGCATTTTTAACACAAAATGCCCAATTCTTCATACATTAAATGGGTTTCTCATTCAATTCGACCAACATTATCATAGTTTGCTGTGCATATACCACTCGCTGCAACTCTGAAATCACGGGTATGACAAAGTTAGGATAAAACTTAATGCCAAAGCAGATTTATGGATGATAGCCCTGTTTATAATGCTAACCATTTGGCTATATCAACTGCCTTAGTTTAAGTTACTATTCGCATTTAAGAGACATTCTATGTGTTCTAAATATCTCTTATCAGAATTATCGAAAAGCCCACACAACAAATCTGATATCACTAGTTTTGCTCCAATCAGTCAAATATGGGATTTCCACGATTTCTGGCGGAACCAGCAGAAATAAACTATATTTAAGGTAATCTTGAGAGCATCTATGAGCTGTTAATAGTACATGGTGAACAGTCCCCTGGAATGTTCGTATTGCTTTACACTTCATTTTATGTAAAATGACGAGTGGATTTGATTGGGAGTATAGATGCTGATGCACTGGGTATGCGAGACTTTCTTAATGGTATCATTTATGGCGATGATGATTAGAAGTTATTGTAGAGCATTCGTATGTTGGGGGGACTTTCTTTTCGTCTAAAAGTGCATGAAGAAGAGATTCGTATGTCGATATCACCAGAAAAGGACGGCTGATTCCCGCTGTACTGCAGCAGTTTGGCTTTTATACCACGTCCACAAAACCTCCTCCCTCATTTCGGATGAAAAAGGCTGAGTTTTTGTCCATCATATGATGGACTTCATTAGAGCTGGATCTCATTCTTGTAAAGTCTCAAGTTAACACTACGGCTAGAAAAATACTACCTTACGTGCAAATTTGCGGGTTTTCATAAGGACGTGAGAAACCAACAAAATTATTATATTTGTTTTTTTAGGCTTTGGGGTATCTTATTTTATGATAACTTTGGATTCGAGTATAAAATAGAAAGTCCAAAAACCTCGGCTTTTGAATAATTACATGTGGTTGGTAAATATAGTTGATTTTATGAGGTGTTATAAATTTATAAATGGGCTAAAACACCGTAAAATTGAAACCCTCCTTAGCGTAAAATATAATTTGTAAGGAAATAAGCGTATAATTGCATACATGCAATTTGGTGTGTAATACTACTACCTTACGTATACATTTGCTGGTCTGCATAAGGACGTGAGAAACCAACAAAATTATTATATTTGTTTTTTAGGCTTTGGGGTATCTTATTTTATGACAACCTATCCGGTTCCATATTACCTCGTATCTAGATTCAATTAAGAAAAAGAAAACAAAGAAACTTAGATATAGAATGGTTTGGCTAATTATCTTTCATAATGGTCCTGCTACTTTTGTTCTAGTGTGTGTATGTCTACGCAATGCTCTTCCCAAATCAGTGTTACAAAGTCTACTGCCAGACTCTGGTCATCAACGCTTAATGACCAAAGGGAAGGCACTGACCGAGACTGCGTATGATTGAGATAATGAGATGTAAGCTTGTAAGCATATAATTCAAGTTACGAAACCACTTATTCTAACCTCTCAGTCTAGGGTCATTAATGTTTAACCACCCAAGGAAAGGCAAGACTGGGGTTGCGTACTCTGCCACGCCTGGTTTGGTTGATGAGCTTAATCTAACATGTTGGACGAGTGTGAGTGAAGTTAGAACCATCAATGAGTAAGTAAGTTGAGTCGTTTTCTTTTGGATGGCGGCTAAACTGTTTAGCCCAGAATTGATTAAAGGATCGACTTAACTTGTCTCTTTGACGAGTTTTAGTGTGGGGCTAAGAATGGCAATGCTCACTAATGATGCCGATTATGATGCCGGCGAAACGTGTGGGAATGGACCAAGTCTACGGTCCGACTATGGAAATAGTCATACATACTAAGGACTCCGGACAAGATGCGTTCCTCTAGGTCTTCCTGCCAATATAACCAAGTTGTGAAAACAAGGTCAAACAACTTTTAATCTAACATGTTGGACGAGTGTAAGTGAGTGTTAACGTGAGACTTTGGCAGTAATGAGACCCAGCTCTGATGATGTCCATCATATGATGGACGAAAGCCCAGCCCGTTTTCACCCGAAACGAGGAAGGAGGTCTCGTGGACTGCGTCAACCTGAACGTCGTATAAAAGCCAAACAGCTGCAGTACAGCGGGATTCAGCCGACTTTTTCTGGTGAGGTCGACATACGGATCTCTTCTTCATGCACTTTTATACGGAAAGAAAGTTCCCTAACAATGTTAACTGTGGAGATTAATCGAAAACCAGTTTCTCTTCGTATTTACAATGTACCTACGGATATTCGTATGTTGGCCTCGCCAGAACTCGAAGGATATTTGCCCTGAGGTAGTGACTAGAATTTGAGCATATTTGTCCACAGAGCTCTAACTTGCTAAATCGTGTTTGGATTTTCTCTATCCTAACATGACTGAAAAACTCCCTTCTTGAACTACGTTATTTTTCAGCAATTTTTATTAAAAATTACAATTCGCTTTAATGCTGCCCGACATCAGGGATTTCTAAACTAATGATAAAATATTAAAAGTATTCACTTTAAATTAAACTCTATTTTGGTCTTTTCCTTATTTGAGTTTAGATAGTCTCACGGAAAAAATAGTTCAGCACGAAATATGCATGAAAATTCAGCTACTCGATTAGGCCACTCATAAAAATAATAAATTGAAGCTAAAATAACTGGTAACCTCTGGCCGTAATATCCCAGCAAAATAGTGAATGATCGATGATTGGATAATTCTTTTTCTTTGATTATCCTAAATTATGAGTGCATTTTCTTAAAGGGAGATGCCACCTTTTCTGCTCACCAAAAATGCACTTTTTTCACTACGAACTTTATTCAAACGTAGGATTTTTTATCTGATTCTTTATAGTGCACCTTTTCTTCACAATTGCCCTAGTAAAGAGTCACAATTCAGAGT